AAACACTGTTTTTGTTGTTTAATATGTGAAAGTTGCTTCTTCCCCACAGACAAATTGCTGTCAGAAGCAGGGATCAAGTTATGGTTCCTCTGCAGAACCAAGAGGCTGAAATTGTATCCAGTTCCTTGTCTGTACAGGAGTGGAACAGATTAGGTGGCTTTGACTCTCAGAGAAAAAGTTTGGAGATTGGCAAGTTACTGAGGAGACTGGGCTCCAAAGAAAGTCCTCATCTGAGTCTATCACCTTGGTAGGCCCAGATATTAAAAAGACAATCTGGGACACACTTAACTTGGGTCCACACAGTGTGAGGAAAAGGTTTGCAGAATCTAACAATGTGCGTAATATTTATTGGGTTTTATAATATAAATGAAACCTGTCTGTCAGTGGTTAGGGGCTCCACCATAGCCTTTTGCCCTCCAAAATGCTCAGCTGCTAGGAATGCTGACTGTTCATTCCAACTCCTATGGCCTTTGATCAGGGTAGTCTCTGCAATCACAAGCCCCATCAGCTTTTGCCCATTTTTCTTCCTGAAGTCATTCAAACCCCAACCTGACTTAGACTGCTATTTAACTGAGCAGCTAGAAAAAAATTGATCCTGGGCTCTGACAGGACAGCTAAGCTAATGAACTGTATATCAAATGGTAACAGTTTGGGTCTGGAATGTCCCTCAAAGTCCCACCTGTTAAATGCTTAGTCCCCCAGCTTGGCAATATTGGAAGAGAGTGGAAACTGTAAGAGGTGGGGCCTATGGGGAGATTTTAGGTCTTTGGGGGCATGACCTCAAAGGGGATTGTGAGATCCTGGTCTCTTCATTTTTCAGTTTTTTACTTTTTGGACAGGAATCGAGTGGTTTGGCTTCACCACAAGCTCCCCACCAGATTATGCAACCTTGTCACAGGCCTAAAAGCAACAGGCTCAACTGAGCATGAACCAGAACCGCTGAAACCACGAGTCAAACTAAACCTTCTTTCTTTACAAGTTGGTTATCTCAGATATTTGTTACAGTGACTAAAAGCTGACAAACACTCTGAGCTCTACCTGTCCTAACTTTGAAGGATAAGAAACAGGATTCTAGAGTCAACATTCGAGAATATTGCATAAAACAAATTTAAGCAAGTCCCCCCTCCACCCTTTTTCAACCCTTCTTAGAATCTCAAATAGTTCAAAAAACGATTATGAACTTCCAAGGCAGAGATCTAGTATATATCATTTTCTAATCGCCCTTCTCCACACTCAAAGAAAAAYATGGAGAAGGACTCATTTAAGAAATATTTCTCTAAAAGACCTTTCCTGAGACTCCCAGTTAAAAGTGATCTGTAGTACTTCTTTGGTACCCCTCACATCTCATGATTTTCCATCTACTTTTAGATGTGGGTGAGATGGAGATATTTTTTTWAAATTTTTTTTTCCTTTAGTAGCTGTTAAAAAAATGGCTAATCCTTTTGGGATGACAGTAAGGCAAGAAGCCAGGGGACCCTCTGTGAGTCCTAATGTGGGTGGGTGGCCAGTTAGGCCATTGTTTCCTTGAGCCCCTAGAGGGCTTGAGGATACTAATTTGGAGAAGGAAGTAGAGGCAGGACTGAACTGCTTTAATAACAAAAATGTGAGAAATTTCAGTTCCCAGGGAAGTTTCAGGAAGGAGAGAGGAGTCAGTCGGGCTAAATACTGCATGGGAAAAATTTCAGAAAGGGAAAAGAAAACAAACAAACAAATAAACTAATGGCAGCCCTGTTTGAAAGAAGCTCTGGGGGGAGAACAGAAACATCTAATGGGAAATTTTGAGCTGTTTGTTATTGGGGGTGTGGCATAAACCTGCTCTTCTTATTAATTTTTTTATGAAACCATCAGTGATGTTTCCTTGGCCCACAGTGTGAGTGGATCCCATTGCCGAGGCGATGTGGTGGTGGAGGGGCTTCAGACTGAGGGAGAGGTGACGCCTAGGTGGCCTCTCACTGACTTGGCTAGGTTTGAAGCATATGCAGTTGGCCTTCTATATCAGCAGGTTTTGCATTCTTCAATTCAACCAACTGTGGATTGAAATACTTAAAAAAATATTGTATCTGTACTAATGACTTCTTGTCATTATTCCCCAAACAATACAGCATAGCAGTTATTTACATYATGTTAAGTATTGTAAGCAATCTGGAGATGATTTAAAGTCTGCAGGAGAATGTATGTGTAGTATCATGCAAATACTGTGCCGTTTTATGAGGGACTTAAGTATCTGTGGGTACCCCGAAGATGCTAAGGGACAACCACATGTACTGAGTGAATGAATAAACAAATGAATGGATTTCCAAGTAGAAGTAGCAGATAAGGGTTTCTCTTTAACTGAGAATAGACCAGGCCTCAGCCATTAATTTGATAGATTACTAAGTAAAACAGAGACAGAGTAAGGGCTTGGTTTGTGTTTGTTGAACTAACCAGTCACAGAGACAGCGAATAAGGAGAAAAGAGCTATTCTCTTGTTTTCCATGCAGAAAGAACTAAAGCTCTAATCTCTGTCATGAGAAGACCACTTGGATTATAAATGCCTGGCTTTCAAGATTCCAAATGAAGATCTCCTCCCTGTCCTCAGCAGAAGGACACAACAGTTGAAACACAAAGATGATCACACCTCTCCATTCTGTTAGAAATAATTGCTCTCTCACGTGTGTTTTTATAACTCACTGTAGCAAACCATTTTTCTCCCTTGTGTTATAGATGCCACACATCTTGGGTTCTCCATAACATTTTGAGGTTCAAATATAGCCAGGGCCTGTTTGGGGATTGGAAAAGACTATCACAGAGGCTTAATTTCCCTTTGCATGAGATTTCATGAAAGTCAGTCACATTTTAGAGAGAAGGACCATGACCTACCTCATCTCTGAAACCCAAGGCCAGGCAGACTCTAACCCATAGTTGAGAGCTGGATCCATGCTCCTGAGCTGACCTGCCCACAGGGAGAAGGCTGAGAGCTTGAAGAGTAACAGTGGCCAACTCAAGAATACAGAGTCTCTGATTTATAATTGTTGAACTTAATGATTTTTCAATATTTTTTTCAACTTGACAATGGTGCAAAAATGATACACATTCCATAGAAATCATACTTCAAAATTTGAATTTAGACCTTTCCCCAGGCTAGGTGACGTGTAGCCCAGTAAGTATTCTCTGGTGAGGCTGGGCAGTARCTGTGAGTCGCAGCCCCTGGTAAGTCCCATGATCATGAAGGGAAACAGCAAATATGGTGTACTGTTGCTAAGCTATGATGTTGGGTAGGTTAGTTGTATTAAAAGCATTTTTGACTTACATGTAAGTTGATATTTTCAACTTAAAGTGGGTTTATCAGGACATAACCCTATTGTAAGAGAAGAACATCTGATTTGGTCAGGGCCTCCTGGGAAGGCCTGGCCTGACACCTCTTACTTGTCATCAAAACTGTCTCTTCATTGCACAATTAATATGAAATTGTATCTGCATAGTGCTTGCCCTTTGCAGAGCCACACCTGGTGGAACTATAAATTGAGAAGTTCCTTATCAGTGGTGAGGAATGGTGTCCTGTCCACATTGGGAGGGCCAATTTACACCTTTTGGCAGGAAGCTTGGTTGATTATAACATCTCTTTAGTTTTCACAGTGGTTCTACATTTAGGAATTCCCACAGAGGGCCTATGTGTTAAAGTGCATTTACTGGCAATTATGTGGTTGGGTCCACTTACTCAACAGGACAGTGGAAAAGGGTTTGGCTGTCATTGCAGGAGTTATACTGGGCTTCTGAAGCACTGTGATAATAGGTGGAAGCTCTGACTCCAGAGCCCAGACATCTGAAAAGGAGAGCTTTAATAGATAAGATAACTTAATTTAACTTATCTACTTAATAGATAAGATAACCCTTTGGAGAGTTGATCCTTCATTCAACATTTTTTTTTTCCTGATACTGGGAATTGAACCCACTAGCACTTTATCACTAAGCTATACTCCTAGTTCTTTGTATTTTTTTTTTTTTTTTTTTTTTGAGGCAGGATCTTGCTAAATTGCTGAGACTGGACTCAAACTTGGGATCCTCCTTGCTTCAGCCTACCAAATTACTGGGATTACAGGCATGTCCCTCCCCGCCTAGCCATTTAACATTTATTAAGCCTTTGTTCTGTGAGAAGTGCTATTCTAGGACTTGGGGGTTTATTCATGTGACTCTTTTTTTCTTTTTTTACAGGATCAAAATCTTTATTTTATTTTTTTTATTAGTTGTTCAAAACATTACATAGCTCTTTTTTAAAATTTTTATTATTGGTTGTTCAAAACATTACATAGTTCTTGACATATCATATTTCATACATTTGATTCAAGTGGGTTATGAACTCCCATTTTTACCCYRWATACAGATTGCAGAATCATGTGACTCTTTAAAAAAAGTTTCTGCTCACGGGAATTATGATGACAATAATAAACTGAAAGGCAAATATACATATAAAGTCAGGAGGACACTATCAGAGAGTGATACTGAAATAAGGCATGATGATGAGGAATGGCTGGGAGGTCCAGAAAGGCATCTTAAAGGAGTCACACTTTAGCTGAGGTCTGAATTAGAAGAAGAMCCATGAAGGAAGGAGGAAGATAGCTCGGCATGGTGGCCCATGTCTGTAATCCCAGTGTCTTGGGAGGCAGAGACAGGAGGTTTGCAAGTTCAAAGCCAGCCTCCTCAACTTAGTGAGGCCCTGAGCAATTTATCAAGATCCTGTCTCAAAAGACTAGAGATGTGGCTCAGTGGTTAAGTGCCCCTGGGTTCAGTCCCCAGAACTAGAAAAAAGAAAAGAGGAAGAGCAATCCAGGCAGTGGGAACAGCTAGTCCCCAAGCTCCTTCTTAGCAAGCCTGAGGTGACCTGGGAGCAGCAGGAAAGCCACTGTGATAGGCCTGAGGGTGAAGGGGAGGGTGGAGCTGGTTGTGATCAGAGCCCTGAGTCCTGGTCCACCAGGTGCTGTGTGCCCTTTGCCAAGGTTAAAGCTTTGTCTCTTCTTTTACAGACGACTTTGCAGAGGAGGAGGAGGTGCAGTCCTTCGGTTACAAGAGGTTTGGTAAGTTCTAACAAAGCCCCATTCCCTCTCCTGGCCTCAGTCCTGGACACAGTATTTGACCCTCAGAGACTGTCACAAATAACAGGATCATTGAGGGACCTCGACACACATGAACATTTGTGGCACTGAGATTCAGTTTTGGTTGGAAATTGAGTTTCTATGTAACAGGCAAACGATGGCCGAGGAATGGGGGAGTGATGGGATGTTTATGCGCCTGCTGGATACGAAACGGGCAGCTTATTAGTCCAATGTGACAGGAAAGGTAAATCTGTGACAAGACAGGAGCAAGAGATGTGGGATTTCTCCATGTTGGTGTTTAGAATCCATCTTCTTCGCTGTGTCCCCCTGTGGCTCAGACCTTGTGGTCATGACTTTGTATTCGTGGATGAGAAAGGGGTGGGGGGGGGGACTTTTCCCAGAAACCCAGCCACACACATGTGCTTTGGGGTAGGCTGAGTAATGGCTCCTCAGACATCAACACCTGATTCCTAGCACCTGAATGTTACTTTATATGGCAGAAAGGACTTTTTGCAGATGGCATTAAATTGAAGAGCTTGAGAGAAGATGATGTGATGATAGAAGTAGAGATTGAAGTGACATGCTTGGAAGGAGGAGGAAGGGCCCTGGAGTCAAGAAGCAGAAGAAGGCAAGGAAATAGATTCCTCCTTCAGAGCCTCCAGAACAACAGCTGTCCCCCCAACATCTGTATTTCTGCCCACTGAAGCTTCAGACTTCTGGCTTCCAGAACAGAGAGAGAAGAAATTTGTATTGTTTCAATCACCGTGTTTGTGATGATCTGTTACAGCAGCCATTGGGAACTAATACTTGCTGCTCTGCCTCCTGGGCTGCTGCTGCAGATGGTAATCTTTGCTTGGACCAGGCTTCTCAGACTCTGCAATTTGGCTTTGAAATGCTGTAGTTTAAAGGAAAGTTTAAGAGAAATGAGGTTTATTCTGACCAGCTTATTTCTATGCCTTAGCCAGAAATAATGAAGGATAGAGAGGAGGAGGAGAGAGAGAGAGAGAGAGAGAGAGAGGAGAGAGAGAGAGAAGACTATGAAAGATAATGAATCTATTTCCTGTTGCTTAAAAACAGACCCTGGCTGGACTTTGATTAAAGTTAACAACCACCAGCTGCTCTGGCTCCCTCATTGTTTTAGCATTTATCCTTCTGGAAATATACTTCTACTTTTCATTCTGGGAAAACAAAGCCGGGGACGGTTAATATGGGATTGCAGTGGCACCAGGCCCATGGCTTCTCCATTCATGTCTTGGCCCAGTCCTCTCTCCCCTCCTGTATACTCCTATCTCTTTATACCATTACTTGTCCCTGGATTGGTACCCTGTGTCGTTGTGCTTTTCACTGGGGGAGTCACTGAAGGTGGCAGGAGGAGTGAAGATAGAACCAAGAAGGACAAGGGAAAACAGCCCCCACAAGAAAGGGGAAGAGCACACTTGTCAAAAGAAGGCAAAGTAAATGTTGAGATGTTTATATATTTTGGAAAACGGAAGTGTGAAGAACAAAGAGAATAAGTTTCTTGAAAAGAATAAATTTCATGGCCACATTACTAGCTAGATGGGTGGGAATTTGGAGAGAAAGACACACAAAAAATTGTACATGGCTGAAGGGGTTTTAATTTATGGAGTTACGTGGAAATTGCCAACTGATGACCCAGAGGAGACATGATAACTTGGAAATATAGGAGAGCATAAACAGAGAGGCATGAAGAAAATGATACCAACTTGTAGAAATAGAAGAGGGGGCTGAAATTAAAATGGGAAACATTGGAGTAGAATGTAAAAGGATTATGTTTCTGGGCAAAGATGAATATCCAGCATTGGACTTTGGTAGAACTAGGAAGAACCTTTGCAATTATTTAAATTAGCCTGTAATTTTCCAGATTAGTGATGTGAGGCTCAGATAGAGGAAGTCCTTGCTCAAGTGAGTTAGCTRGAGCTGGGGTTAGAAGATCTAACTCTCAGATCTCTCAACTTCTGTGTCCCCGAGGAATATCCTGCAGCTCAAGAACCCTAAAGTGAGCCAGGCACCCAATCTGGCCCCATGAGGGGGTCTGATCACTTTTACAGGACCTGGGATTCTGGACCTGGTTCTTCAGAAAGGTAAATAGATTTTCAGTTCCTAAAAAGAGGTCAAATCTGATCATTGAGTCCAGCCGAGCTCAAGAACCCATTCTTTCAGGTGTGGCTAAACTTCAACCATTGAAGGAAGACCAAGTCCCTTCCATGCAGAAGGTTGATAGTAAGGTGTTAAGTAGAAGGTGTCCAGAGGTGGGGCAGCCCTTTGGGCTCTGCATCTAATTTCCCTTGTGACTTGARACTGGTTATTTTAACTCTGTGAGCCTCACATGCTGCATTTGCCCAATAAGCAGAGTGACACCTGCTAAGGTAGATAAGTCTACCTCACAGGGCTTTGGTGAGCCTAAGAGATACCCGATGGACAGGAACTTTGAGGGTGCTGCACTATAAAAAAACAAGGCTGTATGATCCTTCCTGAGATGTGGGGATTTTAGCACTCTCCAGACATTTTGGTGCAGCCACACTTCAGAATATCAGTGTGACAGGCCTGAAACCTCATTCTGAAGAGATGTGAAGACATGATTTACTTTGAATATGGTCATATTGTAGCTTATATTTTTGCAAAAGTGGACTCCATAACTCAGAGGGTTTAGTTATTGCCTAATTCTAGATATGTCTTGTTTATGCAAATACAATAAATGCAACTTGATTTTAGCCTACTGAGGAAGCAGAGGTTAATTCTCAAGACAAGAGGGCCATTCTTTTAGCAAATTGTTACTGGGTGGGCTTCTTTTCCAAAGTTATTTATACATAGTTATTCAGAAGCATTTGGTATAAAAAGCCAAGGCTGTGCTTTTTAAAATTCAGCATAGTGTTACCATAAAGAGCGATCATGATCTTCTCTAGTGATCTAGCATGGTGTTGTATTATTTTAGTATAATCACCCCCTTTGTTGTTCATGGACTCATGATTGCATTTTATTTTTAAAAAATGTTTTGTTTTTTTTTTTGTAGTTGTAGATGGACAGCATACCTTTATTTTATTTGTTTATTTTTATGTGGTGCTAAGGATCAAACCCAGTGCCTCATACATGCTAGGCAAGTGCTCTGCCACTAAGCTACAATCCCTGCCAATTATTATTGCATTTTAGCGGTAACCAGATCTTCTATTTTTCTTCAGTTTCTCCATATGTCAAAGCTGTTAGCCCCGTTCTCAGGGTTCTGGGCAGGTGTCTGAAAAAGAGATAAGAGTTCARTCTGATGGTTTTGCCACTAATTTGTTCCTGTGTCAAAAGCTTCAAGAAGGGGGAACTTTGAAGAGTTAATTAAGTGAGCATTTTCAAGCTTTAATCAGGCTTTATGGGTCAGCATTTCTTGGCCTGAGTCTGCAGAGCTAATTGAGGTGTAACTATGGTTACAATTTGGCAGAGTTCCTTTTCTGGAGCATGAAGTCTGTTAATTTTTATTTTCCATCTACAAAATATGATATACTACAACGATACTGTTCTATTTCTTTCCCAGTTATTGCTTTCTTCAAAAAATATCACAGGTCATTCTGAAATACCTCAATGGCTTCCTTAGCATATAGGTAGAGAGTCAGCATCACCCTGGGTGCCCTGGGCTCTGTCTCTGGAGCCTGCTTGATCCCTGTCTATGCTGGGGGGTGACTAGACTGACTTTGTTTCATTGATTGGTCCCAGTGGGTTCTCCAGTGTTGTTTTTGGATTGTGACCTGGTATAATAATAGATGTCCAAACTGGAATGATGAAGGGGCAAGAGATACATGGTTCAGCCTGAAAAAAATCACAAGTAGATTTAAGGGTTCACAGTGAGCAACTGTGGGCAGCTGGAAACATTTGTTATTTGTGTTTGACAAACAAAACTTGGATAAAATTGCTTCCTTGGGGGCTCAGGAATAGGGATTATTAATGGCTATGAGAAAAAGATCTGAAAAATTGCAAACTGAAACAGTAACAAAAAAAAATAAAAGAAAGTATGCTCTATGGAGAAGAACTCGAGTATTCAGTAAAAACAAAGTAGAAAAGTTCTAAGGAAACTACTGGAAATAATTTAGGGGTTACAGTTCCAAAGGGGGCAAAATCAGATGCCTTTTCCTATAAAGGTCGGTAAGTATGTTCTTTGAAGTACGTTCTTCAATAGTTTTCACAACTTCACAGGCTTTTTATGGCTGTAACTTCAAATAAGTGTAGCTTTTTCTTTTCCTTGAAAAATAATTTCAGATTAGGAAGAGAATATGTATATAAACGTATATATGTATATACTCACATATGTGTGTGTGTGTATATATATATATATACATTTTTAAAAAATTAATTTCTCTTTTTAAAGAGACAGGGTCTTGCTATGTTGCTTAGGCTGACCTTGAACTCCTGCGTTAAAATGGTCCTCCTTCCTCAGCCTCCTGAATTGCCAGGACCATGGGTGTACACTGTACCCAGCTTAACAAGAGTATTTTTTTTAGCAGTTTAGTCCACACAGTGCAGGGCATGTTGAAGCATCCTCAGAAATATGTCTGCCATGTTCTGATCTCACTCCTCACCATCACCATCCTCTCCTTCCAAACCCATCCTCCAAGGAGATCAACATACAAAACTTTAACATTCCTCCTTAAGTCATTGAGCTGTTTCTTGCTAAGAGATTTAAAGAAATGGAATATCTGAAAGCATAGAGGACCATTTAGGCATCCAGAAAATCACGACACATTTATGCTTTAGCCATATATCTGGAAAGAGAGGTTCATTCTGAGGCACCTGGTGAATGCCTGCTTTCAATGTGGAGAGGATTTTTGTTTTGTCTGGTTTGTGATGCCAGGGATTGAACCCGGGCCTTCTATGCTGAGCCAGCCTCTACCACTGAACCACATCCCAGCCTAATACAGAGAGGACCAGTGTTTACCAAGAGGGTGCCAAACTGTCTTTGGGAAGCTGCTTAAGATGAACACTTG